CCCAACCTATCTATGCTGGTGAAAAGGGAATCAATGTTATCATATACCCCCCTAGAAATAATTAGTATTTTTATTCACATCATGTAGCGATATAGTCGCAATTTTTATGTATTGTAGGCTGACTTCCGGCAACGTTTTTTTTATCTCATAAATAAAGTATTATTATTTTTATCGATAGTACATAAGAAATGGGTCACGTGTAATGGTGCAATGACTGTGCGATATAAAAGCCTATATTAATACCCAGTATTCTCTTTCCCGAACAGAAACAAATTTTTATCTCACTCCAGAACGTAATACTACTTTTGTCCGAGCCTAATATCCCTATAAAATGACTGATAATGTAGACACGCTTTCTCCACAACCATTACTGTAAATGAGACGCTCATGTTGGCAGACGAAATAAAAAAATATGACACTGGAGTCCTTATTTCGTTTTTGCAGGAACGGGACTTAGGGTTGGACTTGGACGACGAAAATATTATTCGCAAGGAGAAGATTACGGGCTGTGACTTTCTTAAGTTAACCGAAGAAAAGTTTCGCAGTGTTGGCTTAGACTTGGGACCATCGACAAGACTTGCGAACTTCGCTAAGGAGTGTAAGGATAAGAAGTTGAGGGCTTTTTCGACATACCGTAGCTTAAAGGAAGTATTAGAAAAATATGACCTCGCTTCTGAGGGCACAGAGATTATACCTCTTTTCACACCACGAATTCACGAAATCCCAGACGAAAATAAGCATCTCGAACTGTGTATGGCAGATATCAAGTTACGACTTAAAAGTTATGGGACGTTGGTAATGACAAATTTGGAGTCCATACGTAATGAATACGTTTTAACTATACTACATACCGCCCTTCGTATCGCAGAAGATATCACGAAAAAGAAATTTAGTATGAGGCCTGATTATGAAATAATTGGAGATGAAAGTTGTGGGCGGGTCGATTATGCAATCAAGGTGAGCCTTGTATTTTTTTACTGTTCCTCCTATATACTACTAGATCCTATGTGGTCCTAGAGGGACCTGTTAACTTACCGCAAAATATAAACTTATAGGAATCCGATGAGCTTATTTGCATCACAGAGGATAAGGTCTAACAAAAGCTAACAGAAGGCTTCGCTCAGAATATCAAACAACTCGACAAACAAACAAGAGAAAACGAAAGCGTGATGAGGACTATTTTGACTATCTATACAGGGTTGTGATGTCTGCCAAGGATTGGCATTTTCTCCAGGTGAAATTTTACAGGCGAGTAAACCCCCTTTAGCATCGAATTTGTCGAAGAGGCTCTGGTTGAGAACTCCGAAGAATATAAAACATTGCGTAAGGGCGTCAAGAAGGTTTTAGGTATAATCATTGGCTTGTTGGAAGATAGGACATGTGTGAAGATATATCGGATAGGAAGAGAGCAAAGATAGAGGAATATCGTTTGAAAAAATAATCATGTATATTAGTCTATACGTCGTGTATCACGGGCTACGTCCTGAATTCTGTATTTATTTTTCGCATGTAATAATAAAAAATTTCTTGGCAAAGTGCGTGAATTTTTTTCACGCAGTAACATTTTTTTTCTTTGAGTAATGCGATTTTATTACTTAAACATATTAATATAATATAGATGAATCATATTATATATACTACATTAAATGCGATCTCGAGGTAGTAGAACACCACTTTTGGTTAGTAAAAAGTACCATAAATGCCCTCGTGACTCATGTTTATTTACATTTTTCTAATGTATTTTTGATATACACGATATTTTTCTCCAAAAACAGTTGCATCGGTATATAGAGGTATGCTAATTACATTACTCAAAATAATAGAAAATAAACTAATCTTGAATCATAACTAGAACCTAAAAACTAAAACCGTAATTGACAAGATCGATGACGATTCCTGCTCTCTGAAACCATTTCCTTAAAGCTTGGTGTTGCAAGAGTATTACGTTTGTTTTGTTCTTGTTTTTCAGTAGATACAATACAATTGGACCAAAACGCATTGGATATGATGAGAAGTGTATCAAGGCTAGTGAGAAAAGCAGGAACCTGTTCAAGTGACATAGGCACGTCAATGTAACTAACTTCCACTATAACATATAATGCATCACACAAAAGAGTTGTAAGATAAAATGTGATATGGTGCTCTATTGAGTACAGAGCAATTGTTCAGTGATATGTGATCCGAAAAAAAGTTATTACTGGAAACTTACCAACAACTTGAAATCCAAGCACATAATTCATATTATAGAAGTCAATCGCATCTTTGTTAAACACAGCTACACGAATGAGATCGGTGCAAAGGAGGTAAAGGTTATTAACTTCTTGTTGAATTTTTGCTTCACTGTATCCTTTACTTGAACTCCAAGACAGTTGATCGATTTCGCTAATGATAGCATCTGGTTGTTTGGCTCTGCTTACTGGCTTCCTAACCTTGGACTCTGTAGCCTCATCGTTTAGCCTGTAATATTCCTATTGATTAGAAAATGTATGTATGAAAATGTTATCAAGTTAAAGAGCTTACCATCGCAAGAATATATCATGATCAGCATCCGTAAAAAGCGGGCTGAGAATTGGATCAATATAAGTAACGTAGAGTTCTACTTCTCCAACGGGCTTTTTAATGTGACTCTTGGGACTCTTTCAATACTAGTAATTACAAATAAAAAATGTTTACCATTGGGCACTGTGAAAATCCCTCCTGTTTAAAAATGATACAGCAATTGATTTCAAATTTACAAAATGTTGCAACATAAGCTAAAATTAGTTGCAACATATGTTGCAACAT